GAAGGCTCCTCTCTCTCTGGTTTTGTGCACTCTTGGGGGAGGCTCTCTCTCTCTCTCTCTGTAGACTCTGGGGGAAGGCTCTCTCTCTCTCTCTCTGGTTCTGTGCAATCCTGGGGAGGCCCTGACTTCAGCATCTCTGGTCCTGGGGTTCTCAGACCCCGTGATCTGCAGTTGGCAGCTGTCCACCCCCTCCACCTGGGCAGGCTTGTCCCTGGGTCTGGGCTGCTCTTTCAAGCTCTCAGGAGTGATGAGGTCCTGCCCCACCCCCCCAGCCCCTACCTCCCAGCCATACCCCCAACCAGCCTCCCTAAACAACCCCCTGGCCAGGTCTAGGGAGGGGTTGAGATTCCAACACCTTTTGCAGGGAACACAATTAAACCCATCAGGAGACGTCTTTCTCCTTAGCCCACACCCTGCACTAACTGACCTCCACTCAGGGGCCATTATAATCTCTTGCCCATGGTCCCCCACCTCCCTGCTGCTGGCCCCGCCCCAGGGGGCCCCACTGCCCCCTCCCCTCGGACACTGCACCACCCCGCTTCTGTCCCGGGGGAGCTCACAGAGGGGAGTCCCGCCAGATGAGGGCCCCCAAAGGTCAGCCACGGCTGCTCCCCATGTCCCTACTGCCTGGCCCAGGATGGTGCTCACTCTGCTGGGCTGTGCACAGTCGTGGGCAGTGACCCCTCGGGTTCAGACAGGACCTCTGTCACCGACTCGGGAAAACTCAACCAGCCCCACAGACGGACGGACGGACGGACCCAGCAGTGCCGAACCTCCTTCCTCCAATCCAAGGGGCCGGGTGGGGGGCAGTGGGTGGAGCACTGCACCACTGACCGCACGGTCCAGGGCCTTGAGGCCACCAGCCGCTTGGCCGGGAAAGGATGAGACAGTCTGTGTCCCTGAGTTGGACAGCCCCGGGCGATATGGGACAGTTCTGCCCTGCCCAGTCCCTGCCAGTCTGCACCCACCCAATGGCAATGAGCCTGCCGTGGTGAGGTGCCCCGAGTCAGTTCTGACGCGTTAAAACCCTCCTGCAAGACAGGACGAAACACCGCCCGGTCCTGCGCCGTGCTCAGTGGTCCCTGTGCCTGAGCCCCTGGTGGCAGTCCGTCCATCTCTTCGAGGGTCTTCCTCTCTCTCGCTGCCCCTCCACTTGACCAAGCAGGATGTCCTTCCCCAGGGACTGGTCTCTCCTGATGACAGGAGTCTCGCCATCCCTGCCTCTAAGGAGCTCTCTCGCCGTACCTCTGCCAATGGGTTTGTCTTGGTTTTCATTCAACAGCTGCCTGTGCGGCCACTAGAGGGTGCCAGAGGACCGGTGCTGGGTGCAGGTAGGGCGGTGGGGCCCCTGCCATGCTGGGGTGCCCCCCTGAACCCCCCTGAGCAGGTGTTCAGGCTGTAAGGCTTGGCTGGAGCAGACAGCCTCCTCTTTCTCCCTCAGAGCAGTGAGGGGGTTTGACGGGGCTTTCTCCTCCCATAGAGAGTGACAGTCTCGGGAACCTCCAGGGGCAGTTCTACCCTGTCCTGTAGGGTCCCTGTGAGTGAGTTTAGTGTTTGGTTTTATTACCAGTAAACCAGTACCCCTGAGCTGACTGACTCCTGGGGACTCTCTGTG